CCACTGCACATAGTTTTGTTTTCTATTTTTATTTTTTATTTTTATTTATTTTTAAGATTTTTATTTATTTATTTATTTGAGAGAGAGAGAGGGAGAGAAACAGCATGAGAGGGGAGAGGGTCAGAGGGAGAAGCAGGCTCCCTGCCGAGCCGGGAGCCCGATGCGGGGACTCCATCCCAGGACTCCAGGATCATGACCCAAGCCGAAGGCAGTCGCTGAACCAGCTGAGCCACCCAGGCGCCCTAGTTTTGTTTTTTAAATCAGACACATTCATCTGTGAAGGTCTGGGCACAGACTAGGCTGAGATTTGGATTTAACCAGTACTGGAGTTTTGCCAAGTGATAGCAACCCTGTTTTTTGCAGTGTGTGTTGTATATATCTTTCTGGTTTGTGATTTGCCTTCTCCTTTTGTCTCTCTATATTTCTTTGAACTACAGTAACTTTTATATGGTCAAATCTATTATCTTTTTCCTATGGCTTTTTGTATTGGTTTTTTTTGCTTGAGGGAGCCTTTCATCAGGAAGGGAAGATATAATCTTTCTTTTATACCTTCTCCAATTTTTTATGGTTGAATTTTTAACTCTTTAATCTATCTGATGTATGCTGTGATGCAGTTCTAACAAAATAGTCATCAAAATTTCCTTCTTCTCCACATTATTAAAGAAACAATTCCTTATCCTTAAGTTTGTAATTTCTTTAAAATATGTTACCTAATTATCTTTCTATATTTTATAAGTTCTCGTTCCAGGATATTACTTCTGAGTCACCAATTTATCTGGCTATTCTCAGTACTTACAATGCTAAATACAATGGCATCTTTATAATTCTTCAGCATATGATAAGGCAAATGCCAACCTCCAGCCTCTTTTTTATAAGTATTCTTTAACCATTCTTACTTACTTTTCTAGAAATTTTTGTCATGATTCAAAAACAGGCTCCTCTTAGGGTTTGTTTGGAATCAAAAGAAGCCCTAAATCTTAATTTGGGAAATATCAATTTCTTTATAATATTTAAGTTCTCTATTCAGGAACCATGCTCTGATCGTCTATTCTGGTCTTTTAAATTGTATTGGGTTGATTACTCATTCGTGTTTTTATACACTTCAAATCTCCCTGAAATATAGTTTTACTTTGATTTTGATTTTGCCAGAGTGATTCCTCAAGTAAATTCCCTGGAAAGAAAAGCAGAAGGTAACTTTCTGATACTTTACATAACCAAATTTTTTTTTTCTCATAATCATATGATATTTGGGGCAGATACAGAATCTTCAGATTGTTATTCTTTCCTCTTAATATTTATCGCTGGGTCCAATGGATAGAATGTTCCTTGAAACACTACTACTGAAGGGGCAAAAAAAATGGAAAACAACCTAAATGTCAAAGGAGAAGAGAGTTATTAAATAAGTTAGTGACTAATTAGTAGGGAAGTCTATCAGCTATTTTTAAAATGAGGTAAATATATGCACATGATAAAAAAGATTATGTGGGGAAAATGAGCAGCTGTGTAACAATATGTATACTATGATCAGATTTTTGAAAAATAAAACCCTACGTGGATATATATTGGTGTATCTATTTTCATATCTATTTATCTGGAAGAACACGCATCAAATATTAACAAATCACAGTGGGTATTAAAATTAATGTGTGTGGGAAGAACTTTCACTTTTTATTTTATATACTCAAAGTTATTTGAAGTTTTAAAATTATGTATTATTCTTAACCAACAGGTGTACGGTTTTATCCAGCCAATGTACACACTTACTTCACCTTTTTCGATACCTAAACTGTTGACCACACTCCCTCCTACAAACGCTGGGTTAGATGCCTCTTCTAAGTGTTCCCATGACACACTACACTTATTTGAATTATAAAACTTTTCATTTTAATTTATAATTGCCAATTTAGGGCGCCTGGGTGGCTCAGATGGTTAAGCGTCTGCCTTCGGCTCAGGTCATGATCTCAGGGTCCTGGGATCGAGTCCCGCATCGGGTTCCCTGCTCAGTGCAGAGCCTGCTTCTCCCCCTCCCTCTGCCACTCTCTCTGCTTGTGCTCTTCTGTCTATCTCTCTGTCAAATAAATAAATAAAATCTTTAAAAAATAATAATAATAATTGCCAATTTATTTATCTCTTCTTGCCAAGTAGACTGAAAAGCCAGGTACTTTCCCTATGTCATCATTTTCGGTTGTACCTTATGAAGTAATTGTTCAATAACTATTGGTTGAAAGTGTCTATGATTTGAAGGAGGATGTGTATGATCTAGTTCTCTGGCAAGTAAAAGAGGCAGTGTTCAGAAGATAGAAAGGGGAAGTGATAGAGGCAGGGTGAGGAGTCCTGAGGGAGAGCAGCCAATCCACCGTGGGAATGATTCCCTTAACTGTCATCTAAGTAGGTCGAAGGGAACGAGGTGGAGACTTACGGGAAATGCTATGCAAGAGTACTAAGAAAGCAACTGGCCTTCTTCACTGGGGGAATTCCACACCAAATAGGAGAATATGATGTCAGTGTCTTTCTCTGGTGACCTAATAGTTCACATTTCCCATGTGGGCAGGATACATAGAAGTAGCAGGAAACTTCTGAAGGGAAAGTTGAAAGCAAATATGCTAAAAGCAAGAGAAAGCAACACTTGCTTATTAGGGCAAAGACTAAGCTGTCCCAAAAATGAAACCAAAAAGTATGCATCTACATGCAGAGGCTTAAATAACCTGGACGTTCATATCCTTCTCATGTTACGAGAAGTTGAGCAATCCAGCTTGGCAGGAAAAAGTCACTCCAGGATCCACCTTCCTTCCATTTATTATTGCTTCACTATTCCCTGAGGTGATCTCTTCATCCTCATGGTCAAAGTTAGGTTGTGGGCACATTCAGTCTTCCAACCTATGAAAAAGGAAAAGAGAGGAACTCTGAGGCAAGGGGCTTATCTTTTAAGATAGAAATGACCCAGAAATAACACAGTACTTCAGCTTATATCCCATCGGCTGAAACTTAGCCACATAATCATATCTAGTTGTGAAAAGAGGATAAAGATGTGCTCTTTAGCCAAGTAGCCATGTATCTAGTGTCATCTGTTTCTATGGAAGATGGAAAATAATAGACTTCAGAGAAAACCCAGGAGCTTTTGCCATATAAAGAAATCAAATATGGTGCTCATACCTGGCCTGATAAAAGCAGCATTGAAACTCTAGTGGCCATCAAATGCTGGCTAAGACTACTAATGTATGTGCAGTGCAAAAACTAAGGTCTATGCAGGTAATTTAAAGCTAAAGGTGTTGTTTTTTATTATGAGATAATGTCCTTTCTATTTTTTAGGTTAAAATATCTTTAACGATACAGTAAGGATGGTAGATAGCATTTTAAATATCTTTTTTTTTTTTTAGTAAAATAGAGTATTGACTACGTCAGTATTCCCGTTCTCATTTAGTAAAATTTAGTAAAAAATTTAGTAAAATTTAGTAAAAAAATTTTAGTAAAATCTCATTTAGTAAAATTCTCATTTAGTAAAATAGAGTATGGACTACATCAGTATTCCCATTCTCCAGTTTGTGTATGTGTGTTAATTGAGATTTTACCGACCCTTGACATTTTTATGTGGGACCGATGCTCCATATGACCACCAACTACAGAGGCTCAGCAGAGAGGCCAGTAATTAGGATTGTTATTATCCCCTAATCTTCCTTCAACATGAAGATGGCATCTCGCCCACAGGTGAGGTTTTCTAAACTCTCTCTGCTGGAGCCACCATTGTCTCCCTCTCCACGGCCAGTGGGGTTCCCCTCCTCTGGACTCCCAGATTATTCTTTACGTGGATCCACCAGAGCATTTATCATACTGCATTGTATTAAAGGTTAATGTTGCCCCTGCTTGAACACGAGCACCTCAAGAGTAGGGACCCTTTATCCATTGAAGGTACTAATTCTTTTTCAATAGGAAAGAGACATCTGTATTAGTTTGTTAGGGCTGCCCCAACAAAATACTATAGTCCAGGTGGTTTAAACAACAGAAATTTTCCTTGTCACGATCTATAAATCTAAGATGGAGGTGTCAGCAGGAATGGTTTCTTCAGAGGCCTCTCTCCTTGGCCTGCAGATGGCCGCCTTTTCACTGTGTCCTCACATAGTCTTTCTTCTGTGCACATGGATCCCCAGTGTCTCTTTATGCACCCAAATTTCCTCTCCTGATAAAGATACCAGTCAGATTGGATTAGGACTCACCCTAAGAGCCTCGTTTTAACTTAATCACCTCTTCAAAGGCCCTATCTTTAAAAACAGGCACATTTTGAAGTACTAGGAATTAGGACTTCAGCATATCAGTTTGGGTACAGACATACTTTAGCCCATAACAACATCTTTACGATCTTTGCTGATTATAAACTAGTGCATGTTTTTATTTTGTAATCAAATTATACAGAAATGTAGAAGTAGAAAGTCAAAATCTCCTTTCATCCCACTCTTCATGATAGTAGCTCCCAATAGTTAGGGGTAATCAATGATTCTGGAATGAATGAGTGAGCAATGAGGTGGTCCCCATATTACATCTGAGGAAAATGAGACAGACCAAAAGGCTAGGCAACTTTTTTTTTTTTTAAGATTTTATTTATTTATTTAGAGAGAGAGTGAGAGTGCATGCAGGGGCTGGGGCAGAGGAGGAAGAAAAGAGAGCATCTCAAGCAGACTTGGTGCTGAGCGCAGAGCCCGACATAGGGCTTGATCTCACCATCCTGAGATCATTATCTGAGCCAAAATCAAAAGTAATGTTTAACCGACTGAGCCACCCACGTGCCCCAACGCAACTCTTAAGGTCATAAAACCAATTAATGGTAGGAGGACCATAACCCAGTTTTACCAATTGCTCATCTAATATTCCTTCTACTATCCTTTACTACTTCTTTTTTACATTTATTGTAATTATTGAATAAAGACTTGTGTTCCTAATTTTTAATGTCAGAGTGGGTCAGCTAAAGATTTTAGATTTCTCTAGAAGTTACCAAACTCAGTTACTTTAAATGCTTTTAACTTACATTTAGCCTTGTCTTAGGATCTTTTTGAGCAAAAAACAGATATGCACTCAGATTAATTTTCAGATATCTGTTGCTGCATAACAAATCTTGTCAAAATTTAGTGGCTTAGGAGCACCTGGGTGGCTCAGTTGGTTAAGCATCTGACTCTTCATTTCAGCTCAGGTCATGATCTCAGGGTCCTAGGATCAAGCCCCATGTCGGGCTCCCCACTCAATGGAGAGTCTGCTTGTCTCCCTCTCTGCCCCTCCCCTTGTGCTCTCTCTTTGTCTCTGTGTCTATCTCTGTCTCTCTCAAATAAATAAATAAATCTTTTTAAAAAACAGTGGCTTAAAACAGCAACTACTTTATTTGTATGATTCTGTAGGCTGGCCATCTGAGAGGGATTTCTGATGACCTCGCCTGCAACCACTCAAGGTCTCTGACGGCTTAGACTCTGGAACTCACACAGTGTTGCTTTTGTCACATTCTATTGGTCAAGGTCAGTCACAAGGCCAACCCAGATGCAAGGGGGTGGAGAGATAGCCTCTGCCTCTTAATGGAAGGAGTGGCAACATGATATTGCAAAGATGCATGTGGATACAGGAAAGTGTGACTCATTGGGGGCCTTATTATAATGCTTTTCCATAGCTGACATTTGCCACAGGATAACATTCTGCTTGCCAGCCTTTCCGTTATGCCCACGGCTTCCTTTAAACAAACTAAATAGTTCATATGGTTTCATGCTTTGTACTGTGTAACTCTGCCACCTGGCTTCAAGAAGTCAGACTGGAAATTAGTGTTATATTAGTTAAGATTAGGACCAACTTCAAGTGAGACAAAATCCCACATGGCTGGGTTTAAACAAAATAGGAGTTTATTTCTGACTCTTGTCAAAGTCCAGAAGTAGGTTCTTCAGGACTGGTATTGGCCTTAAATTATCTGGCCTCTTCAATCTTGTTGCTCCATTGAACAACAGTACCTTCCATTCCCAAGGTTGCCTCATGATCCAAAGCTGCCAAAGCTCCGGTTATCACAACCAATTCCACCCAACAGGAAGGGAAAAGGGGAGGAAACTTAGAACCCACTCTAATTAAGGATACTTCCTGGAAGTTGCACACCCATCTTGCTCTTATATCTCATTGTCCTGCACTTAGTCATAGAGCCATACCTGTCAACACAGGAGATTGGGAAAGTGTGCTATTTCTGGTGCCCTGCCAGAAATCAGGGTTCTCTTACTACAAAATAAGGAAAGAGTAGATACAGATGGATGATCAGCAGTCTCTGCCACAGGGCTTGACCTAAAGGCAGACATCTATACACTGTCCAAGGGCATATAATGTAGCCTGGTAAGAGATGCATTATTTATTAACTCATTCCTTCTGCAAACATAATATACATTGTGTCCTTTTTTGTGCTAAGCACTGTTCTAGCTACTAAAAATAGAGCAGTAAACAAAGCAAAATCCCTGCCTTCCTTTAGTTATACTCTAGTTGAGGAAGGCAATAAACAAATACACAATATAATGTAAAATATTGATAAGTGCTATGAGTAATTCATCTAGATAAAGGGATAGATAGTTAAGGCATGTGGGTAGGAAGGGACAGTTATTTTAGATAGGGAACAGATGAGGTAAGGAACAGCCCTGCAGATCTGGCGGCGGGGGGGGAGGGGGGGGGAGGCACAGGCTGAGGGAACAGTAAGTTCAAAGGCCCCGAAGCCGGAGCATGCTTGGAATGTTTGGAACAGCAAGGAATCTGGTGTGACTAGAACAGGGGGTGGGGGAATGACAAGACATGAGGATAGAGACAGCCAGAGGTCAGATTTATAATAAGTACTATGGAGTGGACTATGAATAAGATATTCCTTCTTTAGGAGTCTGAAAGCAAAGTTGTGTCAGAGGTTTTCAAGATCACACCCTCAACATCTCAAGATCAATAATTTGCTAGGAGGACTCACAGAACTCAGGATACAGTCGTATATACTTATGGCTAAAATAGCAACAGGATACAGAGCAAAATCCACAAAGGGAAAAAGTGCATAAGGCAAAGTCTGGAGGAAACAAGGTACAAGCTTCCAAGAGTCTTCTCCCAGCGGAGTCACACAAGAAGAGCTTCTTTCTTCCAGAAACCAGCTGTGACAACAGCTATGATATGCTGTCTACCAGGGAGGCTTATGACAGACTCGGTGCCCAGGGTTTTTTTTGAGGGTTGGTCACATGGGTGTCTTCTTCCTTCCTGACTGCCAGAAGGAAAGCATGTACTTAGCATAAGCCATATTGTTTGTACAAACATTTTAGGCAGAGCGAGCTCCTCTTACCATTTAGCAAATAGTCAGAACCCCCCTGAAACCTAAGCTCTCAGATGTTAGGCAAGGGCCAACCTTGCAAGCAGGTCTTTCCAAGAATACCAGTCTTGGGCCTGTTATTAACTCTGTTCTGCACAAGAGCACACAGAGATATGCTCCAAGCAAACCGGAATAGGAGCCAGGAAACTAAGCAGAGACCAAGCAGACTCCATGAGCTAATAGAGGCAATGAGTAAATAAAATTCATGAGATAAATAAACTGAGAAGTAGCCAGAGGGCAGTAATAACAGGAGGAAGAAGCACAGGAAAGAGAAACTGAATCACGTGAATGGAAGGGGATCTTGTGCAGAAATAATGAATGCCCTTCTATGTGACAACAACCCCGTATTGCTTTGGGGACTTTGGAAGTGCTCTGTGATCCTGGAGAGCAATGAACGATGCTCTGCTTCTTCCTGAGGCCTGATTGTTCCGTTAAAATGGCTTCCCATTGTTGCCTCCTAATTTCCTTTTGGATCTTTGTAATAAATTCCAATCACCCAGGATCAGAGACATGGCTTGTGCTGTGCTCCTTGAACCCT